AGAGGAGCCGCCGGATTTCTGAGATGGAGCAACAGCTCTAGTATACTTGGGCAGCAGAACTCCCAAATATTTACAAGGGCAAGCTTTGACAGCCTCCAATTTTCACTCCTGGTCCCGGGAAAGCACAGGTATATCTGCATGAAAAAAATGAGCACACACGCATAAAAAAGNGATGGAGGAAGTCGAAACCTAAAAAAAAAGGAGAGACAAGAGATTAAGAAAAGTCAAAAAGACAGGAAACGACCGGAGAAAAGNCAAGGGCAAGCTTTGACAGCCTCCAATTTCCACTCCTGGTCCCGGGAAAGCACAGGTATATCTGCATGGAAAAAATGAGCACACACGCATAAAAAAAAAAAAGAAAAAGAAGAAGTGTGCAGCATACCGGGTTTTTTAGCAGCACCCCAATGTGTTGGCACCAAAGCTCTACCGGCTTCTGAAGCCCATTCTCCACCAATAAAGAAGAAACAAGATTTTCAGCCACCGCAATTAAAGCACGTTCCTGTAACCACTGTACTACTCCGTGCGATAAAATAGTATCATCCCCTATTTGGTGTAGGGGTTTCGCTCAAATTATATGCTGCATGAAACTCCATAGGGGAAGCATCCTCGTGGTGCACCTTTCTCCATAATGCAAGAAAACCGAGCAGGACTATTCAACCGNTATATGCTGCATGAAACTCCATAGGGCAAGTATCCTCGTGGTGCACCTTTCTCCGTAATGCAAGAAAACCGAGCAGGACTCTCCAACCATTGGGCGCTAGTCGCCCCGGAGTTAAGAAAAAGTAATGCAAAACACGACAAATGGGGGAGGACATGAGAAATCTTAACCCAGCCTCAAACATCTCCTCGTAGACAACAATATCCCCGGAAGAGTCATTGCAAGCAAGCTCGCCCAACTCAGCCCGACGGCGCAGCACGGTCGGAGGGGTGCGATAAGTAAAAACAAGCCTTGAAATATCTTCATCTAAGCGGAACAAACTAAAAAGGGTGCTCACCTTAGACCCGTCATCATCAAGTCCCACTTTGCTCTTGCGTTTCTTCTTCCGGGGCCTTAAGGAGTAGTCCAAATCACCATTGGGAGAGTCTTGAGGAACTTGAATCGGGGGAGCTACAATAGGGGCTTGATCATCAAGAGTAGCACCCAAAGCTTTCTTACTACATGCAATGTCTAGCCCAACGCCTGGAAGTGTGTATGACTGCCGTTGCTCGTCAAAACAAAGTTGCCCAGTAGCTTGAAGGGTGTCTGGCCTTTCAAAATTGCGCAAAGCAGAATTTTTGGAGCAAAAATCAGCACCTAAGGCGCCTAAATCAACGCCTCGAGTGGGAATTGGATCAGCCCGTGCTCTCAGGCCACTGCCTAGCTCTCCCTGATAAACCTTGGACTGATTTCCAGCACC